AAAAAGAGACCCATTTTTTAGCCACTCTAGGCACTATGAAGTAAGTTGACTCACATTCAACCCAAACCAGCACACCCCAGAGGGTGTTTGGGCACTGGAACAGCTCCCTGGTGCCGTGCAGTGATCATCAAGCCTGACAGTGCTCAAGGAGCATTTGGACAAGGCACATGGTGGGCTTGTTGGGGTTGTGCAGGGCCTAGAGTTGGACTGGATGATCCTTGTGGGTCCCTTCCAACTCTGATTATTCTGTGATTCTGTGGTTCTATCGGATCCAAAAGGGAAAAATTACATTTTCCACACTTTTCTCCAGATTTGCTCATGCCAATGAGCTGTGCAGGTCCAATCTTAGCCTCCCTGAGCATTAATCAAAGGGGGGGGAAGTGTTGGCTAGGAGACAGAGAATTGGATTGTGGAGCTGGGACAGGTTAAAAACAAGGACTCGTTTCCAAGTTGGGAACCCAGGACACACTACCTGATCTCTGCAAAATGGGAGGACATTTGTGTCCCAAGTCCCCAAGGAACAAGAGAAGTCATGCAGCACTGCTGATTTTACCCTAAGGATCTTCCCAGCACCATGAATTAACACTTTTTATAGAAACATAGCTCTACCAGAGCTATTCCAACTCCACTGTTCAGTTTTGCTCCTGCACAACAGAGATAAAGCCAGTGGATACCACAGAGGATTTCTTTATGCAAAATATTAAGATTATTCAGGTAGAAAACCCAAAAAGATAAGCTTAAAAGTCAACTGTGTGAAGGAAGCTACAGCGTGGGCTGCCAAAACCTGAGATAAAGGCAGCTGCCTGCTGCCTGGCATCAGCTTTTCCTACTTTTCCCCCCTTCTCCTTGGGAATACAGCATGTTCCTTACCTTGTACACAGGGTCACAGTCAGCCTCGGTGAGATCCAGGACATAATCAAGGTCTTGCTGAACGATGAAGCAGGTGCCATCACCTCCATGGGCAGAAGGAAGGGACATCAGCCAATTAATGGAGTAAGCCACACTCTTAATTACAAACAGAAATCCCATCAGAAACACCTGTGAAGCCCCCAGGGGAGTGCAGAACATGCTGTGAGGGTGGGAAAAGGCTCCAACAGGTGAGAAGCACCTTGGAGTCCATTTTGGAGGGACACAGGGGAGGTTGGTGGTAGAAATCACAAGGCAAAGAGCCAAGAAGACAATACCTAAAAAGCATAAAACTCTTCAATCTGATTATACAATTCCTACTGGCACAACACAGCACTGGAGTTACCTTGGCTAGCAATAAATCCATCTCTGTATGGGAGCAGGCAAAGCACTGGTGCTCCTGATCGGTGGATGACCTGGATTGGAGCACTAGGAAAAGGAGTAGAAACAAGGGATGAGTATTATTGCCCAGAGCAGCTGTGGCTGCCCCATCCCTGGCAGTGTTCAAAGTCAGGTTGGATGGGGCTTGGAGCAAGCTGGGCTAGTGGAAGGTGTCCCTGACCATGCCAGGGGGTGGAATGAGCTTTTTACAGTCTCTCCCAACGCAAACCATTTTATGCTTCTCTTCTAGGATAACAAGTTAGCTAGGAGGGAACACCAGTGAAATTCCATAGCTCAGTTCCAGCCCTAACACTGGAGGACCAGGGTCAATGTCAGGATCCTATAAAGACAGGTGAAAGAAAGGAAGAGGCTGTGCTTTTGGAGAGGAGTAGATTGCTGCTGTGAAGAAGTTTTCTGCTAAATGTACCTACGTATATATGTACATAGATGATATAATACATAAATATCTGTATGACTCTATTTTGAGATACATATACCATAGAATCATAGAATTTAAGGGTTAGAATGGACCTTACAGATCATCTAGTCCCAACCCTCCCTGCCCTGGGCAGGGACACCTCCTCACTAGATCAGGTTGCTCAAGGCCTCATTCAGCCTGGTCTTGAACACCACCAGGGTTGGGGCAGCCACCATGTCCCTGGGCAACCTGTGCCAGTGTCTCACCACCTTTATAGCCGAAAACTTTCTTCTAATATCTAACCTAAACTTCCCTTCCTTCAGTTTGAATCCACTACCCCTTGTCCTATCATTGCAGTTCCTAGCAAAGAGTCCCTCTCTGGCTCCCTTGTAGGCCTTTCAGATACTGAAAAGTTGCTATGAAGTCTCCACAAAGTCTTCTCTTTCCAAGCTGAACAGTCCCAACTTCCTCAGCCTGTCTTCATAGGGGAGATGCTCCAGTCCTCTTATCAACTCCACGGCTCTCCTCTGGACTTGTTCAAACAGTTCCATGTCCTTCATATGTTGAGAACACCAGAACTGCATGCAGTATTCCAGGTGGGGTCTTATGAGAGCAGAGTAGAGGGGAAGAATCACCTCTTTTCACCTGCTGCCCACACTCCTTTGGATGCAGCCCAGGATTTGATTGCTTTTCTGGGCTGCCAGCACACACTGCCGGCTCACGGTGAGTTTCTCATCCACTGTCTCGCCTAAGTCTTTCTCCTCTCTGCTGGCCTCAATTACTTCCCCGCCCAACCTGTAGCTGTGCCTGGGATTGCCATGACCCAGATGTAGGACCTTGCACTTCATTTTGTTGCACTTCATGAGGTTTGCATTGTTCCACCTCTCAATCCTGTCGAGGTCCCTCTGGATGGCTCACCCCTTCCCTCCAGCTGTGACTGCCCCACACATCTTGGTGTCCTCAGTGAACTTGCTGAGGGTGCACTCAATCCACTGTCCAGGTCACTGACAAAGATATTGAGCAGTATCTGCCCCAGCACTGACCCCTTAGGGACACCACTCCTCACTGGCCTCCATGTGGACAATGAGCCACTGACCACAACTCTCTGCGTGTGACCGCCCAGACAGTTCTTTATTCACTGAGTGGTCCACACATTAAATAGTGTCAAACACCTTGCATAAGTCCAGGTAGATTATATCAGTTGCTCTGCCACTATCTACATCATAGCAGGCCACCAAATTCATCAGGCATTAGTTGCCCCTCGTAAAGCCATGTTGGTTATTACCAGTCACCTCTTTGCTTTTCATGTGCCTAAGCATAGCTTCCAGGAGAATCTGCTCCATGATCCTGCCAGGCACAGAGGTGAGACTGACTGGTCTATAGTTTCCTAGATTTCCTTAACTGTCCCTTTTTTGAAAATGCGGGTTATGTTTCCTTTTTTCCAGTCATTGGGGACTTCACCTGACTGCCAGGATTTCTGGAAAATTACAGATAGTGGCTTAGCAACTTCATCAGCCAGTTCCCTCAAGACCTGAGGATGAATCTCATCAGGTTCCTGAAATGGTCTCGAACCCCATCCTCTTCTACAGTGGGTTTAGGGGTTTCATCCTCCCAGTCTCCACCGTTACTCTTTTCAGTCTGGTCAGGGTGGCTGGAGCACTTGGAGTTGAAGACTAAGGAAAAGAAGTCATTAAGAACCTCAGCCTTTTCTGTATCCAGGGTAGCCAGGCCTCCCATTTCCTTCTGGAAATGCATATATATGTGTAAAGCAATAATGTGCAAGGTAAGGCTGGTCACAGATCAAACTGAAAAGTTTTTCAGTAACTAAGGAACCTGCATAGAGTCTTTTAGGAGGCACTTTCATCCCATTAGACCATCACCCACATGAGCAGCAGAAAGCTCCCCAGTGCTCCCTAAAAGGAACAACTGGCTGCAGGAGGCTCAGGAGACCACAATGCCACGGCTGGGACTGGATGCAGCCTTTAGAAGTGGCACTGTCTGCCAGCACCCTTCATCTGGCTCTCTTTTCTGACTAAAAAACTAGTTGTTGAAAGACATGCAGCCCCAGGCACTCACTCACTTTGTGTTTCTCACATCCAGCTGATAGATATTCCCATCCTGAGTCCCTGCTAGGACATAGGTGCTGGAGAGGAATGTGCAGCAGTTGAATGCATCAGATCCAACAAAGAGGAACACCTGAGAATGCAGGAACAGTGTCAGACAAACAGGACACCAAGGAGAAGGAAGCAATAATTCATTTAGAAAGGAGTACAGCCACTTCCATGAGTCATGGCACCAACTGGCAACCCCAGAGACAGGTTAATAGCTCCTCAGCTCTGCTCCAAGATGAGCACAGAGCTCCAGAATCAGTTTTGCCAAGTCAGCAGGGACAACACAGTCAGTGAATGCTCCTGGGTCTGCTTTGGAGAAAAGATGTGCCACACACTGAGCTCAAACTGATCCTCAGACCAGATCAGCATGGTAGATGGCAAGGAGCACTCCTTCCTCCCAGAGCTGTTTGCAGACAATCCTTCACCTTCCCACTGAGTAGCTTTGTGAGTTCATCTGTTCCACCTCGATTTACTCTCCACAAACACCACTAGAAGTTCAGTCTCCTCCATCATCAGGAGCTCCTGTCCTACTGCCCAGAATGGTCCGGAAAAGATCTTCAGTATCTACCAACTCCATCCCTCTTTGATCAGAGATGGGTGATGGCCTGGTGAGCACCTGAGGTCCTCTTCACACACTGCTTAAAACACCTGCCAGAACAAACAGAACTTGCCACCTGGGCTGGATGGGACAGTTCCTGCTTCACAATGACATCTGCTGGCCACTGATTCATTTTAAATACTGTCTTCCCCAAACCCAGGTTAAATCCTGAGCAACTCTACCTCACACAATGCCCAGGAGGAAAGAGACAAATCATCCCTTTGTTGTACCAGGCTTTGGGCTCTCCTCCAGGAATACAGAAAGAACACTGCAGTGAAGACCTAAGGCAGCAGATCAGCCCTTCCCTACCTCCAGCCTGGTTCTGTCCATTTCTGGGCCACATGGTGAACCTCAATGCGAAATGGAGCTGGGATAACACTAACCAGTTTACCTATCTGGGTAACTAGGTAGCTTACCTAGCTAGGTTTAACCTGGCTCATTCCTCATCCCACTCCTCTGCAGAGCCACATAAGTGGCAGTTTGCAAGCTGAGGAGCTGCTACAGCAGCCACAGAAACAAAGGGACTGAGCCCTCAGAGCTGATTTTCCACAGCATCACAGGTGCTGCCTGTGCCAGACAGATACCTCTGCCAGTCTCAGATCCTTACCGGCTGCCTGCTCTGCAGTCCCACTCCTTGAAGCTTCTTGTCTTCTTGAGCCAGGAGCAGGATTTTCCCTTCTGTCCCGACCTCACGGTCACCTGACAAAAGGACAACAGGTGATTCCAGCACAATAAATCTCCACAGGATCAAAACCTGACAGTTTGGATCACCTCTGCTGAGCTTGTGGCAACATTCTTCCAGACTCTAAGTCACCAGCAAGGCAGACCTCAGTCTTAATCACTCAAACTGTCTGATGAGGCTCAGTTCCTCCTCAGGACTGAAGAGTGCTGCTCTGGTGACCCTCATTCCCTTCCCAAGGTCGCACAAGGGCATGGAGCAGCATGCCATGGGCTCAGGATTACTGGTGACAAACCTAAGCAGCTTGGGACATGGAAATAATGATGAATTTTAAGGGAAAGGCCCTTACTAAGAGCTTTCTCAGGCGTCCCCAGGTTGAGTGAGTTGTCAGCAGTGCCCACAGCAATGCCGTTGATGGGAGAGCCACAGTCAGCGATGACACCCAGACAGGAGGATTTCCCACAGTCCCAGAGACGGGCAGTGCCATCCCTGGAGCAGGAGAGGACATTCCTGCCCCGATCCACAATGGCAGTGTCCAAAATACCTGCATGGAAGCAAAGATTGTGTTCAAACAGACAGCTAAAGCACCTCATTTCCCAGGCCAAACTCAACTACTAGCCCCAAGCCACTGTCCCCAGAGTGCCACCAGTCACACACAGCCAAACTGCATGGAGTGCAGCTAGAAATAGGTGCCTGTGGAAGGCAGCAGCTCCCAAAGAACCTCACAGAGTGGGAGCCACCAGCTAGCACAAAGGGAAGGTACTATCAATCAAATGATCAGCAACACCTCATCTCAGACTGAGGTGACAGCACAGCTGCTGCTGAATTTCTACCTCCAAAATTAACCTTTAATTGGGGCAGAAAATTAGGGGCACAGCATTATTAAAATGCTCCAAAGTCCATCCCTGGATAATCCCAAAAGCAGCATCCATGATCTCCAGCTACAGCAACATCCAAAGAGTGCAGGTGCTACAGCAACATCCAAAGAGTGCAGGTGCTAACATCCCTCACCTACTTCATTTTACTGTGGGTTGTCAAACCCAGACCTGAAAAATTACAGAGTGCTTTTTTTTTAGCAGGGAACAGTCAGGCGGTTAGAGATTTA